CAAGCTTTGATTGTGACCGTCACATGGGAACAGTTGTATGGTATCAGTTAATTTTCTTAAGTAGGCACCTCTAATGTGACAAGTCTCTCCCCCACTGCAAGGTATAATTAAATCAATATGGCACCTGACAAGTGGCTTCATAATATCAAGAAACTACCATTTTTGGTTGACATTGAGCCACTTATTCGAAAAGGAGTTCGTCATCCCATCAGCGCCTGTGTTCTGACCCTGCTTTTAGCATCAAGTTCCCCTCTCGTGACTCAATCATCTCATATCGATAGTACTTGTCTTCTGACTCCACAATTTATGATTTTCTCTTTTTAGTGTGTGTGTGTGTGTGTGTGTGTGTGTGTGTGTGTGTGTGTGTCACACACACGTGCAGTAGCCTTAGCATATGTGGAGGTCAGACGACAGCTTTCACAAGTCGGTTCTCTCCTTCCACCTTGGTTTGGAGACAGTCTACCTCGTTTCTGCTTTGCTCCGTACTCCAGGCTCGCTGACCTGAGAGATCCCCGGATGTTCTCCTGTCTCCTCTTCTCCTTTTACCACAGGAGTGCTGGGATGGCAGGTGCACCCACCACATCGGTTTCTAGGTGAGTCCTGGGGATGGAAATCAGACGGCTGGGCTTGTATGGCAAGCACTTTTCCTACTAAGCCATCTCACCAGATGCCATGTCTTCATTTTCTATGACTTTTACTGATTGCTTGAAAATTTTGTCTTCTGCCTCTGCTTTCTCTCTTCCTCTTTTCTTGCCTCCTTCCCTGTTCTTTAGTGATGAAGACAAAAGGGTTTGTTGTTGTTGTTGTTTGGTTGGTTTTGTTTCTCCTAATAGAATCTTTCTTTTCTCAGATCAGGGCTAGAAAGAGGAAATGGAACATAAAAGTCATCGTGGCTTTTGTCACCTTCTGGAATTTCATGCTGAATAACCCCCTGCCCCAGGTCAGGCCCTTGCACCCCCAACCAGCAGTCTCTGAGTGGAGATTCCCCCAGAGACCAGCCTTTTGTATGTGTCTTAAAGACTAAGCTGAGTAAAAAGTTCTGAGCCTCTGGTTGGAAAAGCGAGCCAGTTCAACACTTGGCATCTCTGGAGCTGGGTTAGAGTCCTGCGTCTGCCGCTGGCTGGCTTTACAACAGCAGGCTGTCACCGTGTCTGCCCATTCATGAAGAAGAACTTCTCCAAAAGGTTGATCAAGACCCTGATTGCTACAGCCACCTAACAGTTGCTTCGTGTTTGTTGACAGTCTAAGAAAATGGAAGTTCTTCAAGAGTGAAGACACAAAGAAAGAAGAATGTGGAGTGTGGTGGAAACCTGTACAAGAGTCCTGTGCTTTGCAATTGCAAAAGTGGCTACAGATTCCTCCCTTCCCATCAAGAGGCAGCTCTGTGTCCTCACCTCAGGGGCTGGTTGTCTGTGGGTTTTACTTGGCCAATGGCCCCCAGCAAATGTGATGCAGTAAAGCATGAAAAGTGGGTTTTAACTGCCCTTAGGAGCTAGTAGCTGCCACTGGGGGTAGAATCTTAGGCTGTCCTGGTGAGTGGGGAGAGACACATGGCCCAGACACCTTTGTCTCCCCAGCCATCACCTGGCTGTCACTGCCATCTGATCATGATGCCTACGTACTATGATATTGCTGCATAATAAATTACCTCCAAAACAGATTATCTTCCTCACAGTTTCCCTGGCAGCAGTTTAGCTACGTGATTCAGGGCCAAGATAATATAAGGCTGCAGATAAGTTGCCAAATTGGAGTCAGCATTGTTGCTTCCAGGTGCTGTTGTCAGGCCTAGATGCCCCACCAGAGGGGTTGGTGCCAAGGTCTCTGATGCCTCCACATGAGCCTACCCATAGGACTGCTCACTTCCTGGAAGCTAGCTTCCTCCCAAGTAAGTGATGGGGTGGGGGTACTCAACACATAAGGGTAGTCTTTCATAACCCAACCTCAGAAGTGATAGACCATCACTGCTACTGTTTACTATGATCACAGAGACCAGACGTGATACAGAGTGGGACCACATATGGATGTCCGAATGCGGTAAACAGATATCACAAAGAGTAATCTTGAAGCCTGGCTTGGTGGCCACTGTGTATAAGCTAGACTGAGGATATCAGAAGCACCAACTGGCTGAGCCCAGTTCTAGTTGCCGACCCAAAGCTTGTAAGTGATAGCACTGCCACTGTTTTGGAGGCATCAGTTAAGGCGTTAGATAACTACTGCAAATATCATATGCCCCAGCATCACCTTCTCATCTACCACTCACTAACCTGGTTACCAGCAATGTGGACCAGAGCCTGGACCGAATGTCTCTGCAAGACTGCAGATGGCTTGAGTCTGGTTCTTGCAGCTCAAGAAAACTGAAGATGAGCCAGGTCCCTCTTTCCGCCAGCTGCTTCCTAAAGAGAGGTCCTATCTTTCTTCTACCCAGCTCTCCTTCTCTGGAACCACCTCTTCCTCGGAGTCTGGACTGGCAAGAGTTGGAGAAAGCAGAGTAACACCCATCACACCTTCCCCAAGTGCAGCCACAGCTCCACGCACAACATAACCTACTTCAGAGTGTCAGAACCCAAAGGGTCTGCCACAGTGAGCCTCCCTGGCCCCTCATTAAACAGACGGGGAGGCATGCCCAAAGTCACACCACACACCCACACACACTGACTTCCCACCCTAGGCTTCTTTCTGCACAGTAAAGACAGAATACGTTACAAGTCTGGTGACATTTCTGCACAGAAAATGTATTTCTAAATATTGCCCATCTGGGACTCAGAGAATGGCTCAGGGCAACAAGAAAGAACCAGAAATAACAGGAAGGGGAGAAGTGAGCTCACTGCCTGGTTACATCCCACCAGTGGCCATTTGTGTGTGTGTGTGTGTTTGTGTGTGCACACACGCCTCCTCCCTACACCTTGCAAACCAGGACTCCCGCCTCTTCACATAATTGTGCCACACCAAAGCATCTAGCCCTACGTATACAGTAGCTCCCTTGTCTACAAATTAATTTTGCAGTTACGTAAGGTCAGTCAGGGTCTCAAAAGTATCAAATAGAAAACTAATGCAAATAAACAAGTTGTAAGTTTTAAATTGTGTGTCGCTGTGTAGTGTGATGAAACTTCGTATGGCCCAGCTCTGTGTGGCTGTGAATTGGTTCTCAGTCTCTCATTTCCACACTGTGTAAACTGTCCACTTAATGACCCAGTTGCTATAGTGGTTACCAGATTAACTGTTACAATATCACAGTACTGTGTTTAGGGAACCCTTACTTTACTTAACAATGGCCACAGAGAACAAGGGTAGTGATGTTGGCAATTAGAACATGCCAGACATGAGCTGTAGAGGGCCCCATCAAATAAAAAGCTGAATTTTCTTAATAAGGAGGAAAAACATCTTAAGCTGAGTTTTCTCAGATCAGCAGTTAAGAATCAATTTTATGAATTTGATACAATTTATGAAGTTGTAAAGAAGGTAAAAGAAATATGTGAATTTAACTGTCCTGTCTCAAGTAGCAAGAAGTATGGTCATGGTGCATGGCCAGTGCTTACCTAAAATGCAAAAGGCAGTGAATTTGTGTATGTGTGCATGTATACACACACACACACACACACACACACACACACACACACATTCATGGACACGAAGAGACAGTGTGAATGTGAGCTTCTGGACATCCACTAGAGGTCCTGGATTGTACCGTGCCCCCGTGGATGGGAGGGGAGGCTACTGACTTCCCAAGAGGCCCTATCGGTATGAATATCTGAATCCAACTTTCCAGGATGGATCTTGGCATCTCCTGAGCTGCTGAGCCACACTCACTCCATGACAAGTGGCCATCCAGTCCCTGCTCACAGGTTTCCAGCAACCAGACATTCACCATTCCCTTGGTTAGAAGGAGTTTTGAGAGAGACCCACCTCAGCTCAAATCCTAGCTTTGTAACAGACTGCTGTGGGGCCTTTGATAAGTCATTTGACCTCTTTCTACCTACAATTCTCCTCTGAAAAACAGAAGGAATTCCTTCTGAACAGGGTTGCCGTGATGATAGGTTTTACATGTGTGTGCAATATTCATAGAAAATCATCAGTGTACAACAGTTAATAAATAGAACTAGGTTAACGCTGGATGGAACAGGGATCCTGTCCCTAGCTCTGTCTGCTTCCCGCCTGGACACCCTAGCCCACCAAGGCAGCCTACTGGGCATCTACAATGCCCCAGAGGTCTCTTCTACTCCCAGCTCTATGCCTCGCACTTGTCCATTCTCCAACATTTAAGCTATTTCCTTGGGAAGCTGAAACCTGTAGCAAGCCAAAGTCAGCGGCTAGTAAATGTGGAATCAGGACAAAACAGACTATTTGAATGGAAAATGCAACACTGTGGGGCAAGGGAACTCTCCCGGCATGTGGCTCATCTTTCACAAAGCAAAACAGATTTGCAAGCAAGTTATTGAGTGTGAGAAGTTGTCAGAGAGCAGAGGACAGGAACTGGGAATGCATTACACCTTCCTATTGTCAGTCAATATACAACCACACCAAGAGTCTTTATTGCTGACACTGACCCTGTGGTTTATTTTACCAGTGCTTAAAGAGCTCCAAGGCCTTCCACTGACTCATTGGTGAGATCTCCACCTATCGCCACCCTACCCTATCACTCTCCACCCTTCTCTACTCTGTTCTGGACCTCCAAGGCTGGCATGTGAAGACCTCATCAATAGGATTTGGAGATTTAGTGAGTCATGGTGGGGCACTGATCCCACCACCTCCTTCCTACTCAGTCACTGGGAGTCAGAAAGTGGCCACATACCTCTACCAGGAAAGATCATCGTGAAGTCACCCCAGGTTTCGGTAACTTCTCCCTGCTGTCTTTTCAAGGCTCCTGTCCTACCAACCACAAGGGCCAGATCCCTTGCTGGTTTCCTAGACCCGGTCCACACCTTTGTCAACAGCTCCTTTAAATTGTCTCCAGGCTGTGAAATGGCTCAGCAGTTAAGAGTACTGGCTGCTAGGTTTGAAACATGTTAACTACAAACTGTGTTGTGCAGTTTTTGAAGGACAGCACCCTCACTGAACCAGTGGTAATGGCACTTCTCAAATACTGGCCAAAGACTCACAGTCCAAAAGAAGTAATGTTCTTAAATGAATTAGAAGAAATTCTAGATGTAATTGAACCGTCAAAATTTATGAAGATCATGGAGCCTCTCTTTCGAGAATTAGCCAAGTGTGTTTCCAGCCCTCACTTCCAGGTGGCAGAGTGGGCACTGTATTACTGGAACAATGAGTACATCATGAGTTTAATTAGTGACAATGCAGCGAAGATCCTGCCCATCATGTTTCCATCCCTGTACCGCAAACTCGAAGACCCACTGGAACAAGACAATACACAGCTTGATATACAGCGCCCTGACACTCTTCATGGAGATGAGCCAAAAACTCTCTGGTGACTGGACCCAGCAGTTCAAAGCAGAGAAACTGAAAGAGAAGCTAAAAATGAAACAACAAGAAGAAGCATGGGTTAAAATAGAAAATCTAGCCAAAGCGAATCCCCGGGTACTACAGAGGAGAGTAACACAGGAGTGTTGAGGCATTGCTTGAATGTTTGATGAAATAGGATCTGGCCCCACCCCAGGAGGGGAGGCCATCGTCACTAACACTGTATGTGCAAATGTCCACAATAAAACACTTTCTAACTTTGTAACCTAAAAAAAAAAAAAGAGTACAGACTGCTTTCTCTCTTTCAGAGAACTGGGACTTGATTCCAGGCACCCATCCCACAGCTCACGACCATCTATAACTCCAGGTCCACGGTATCTGATGGCCTCCCTCTTCTGGCCTCAGACACCAGGAATACACGTTGTACACAGACTTACATGCAGACTGTCTTAGAATTTCTATTGCTGTAAAGAGACACCATGACCATGGCAACTCTTATAGAGGAAAACACTTAATTGAGGCTGACTTACAGCTTCAGAGGTTTCGTCCATTATCAGTGTGGTGGGAAACATGGCAGTATGCAGGTAGACATGGTATTGGAAAAGGAGCTGAGAGTTCTACATCTGGTCAGCAGGCAGTAGGCAGAAAACTAGCTTGAATTTAGGAGACCTCAAAGCCCCCACCCCTATAGTGACACACTTCCTCCACACCTACTCCACAAAGGCCACCTCCTAATAGTACCACTTCCTGTGGGCCAAACCTTCAAACAATGAGTCTTGGGGGTGCCATACCCATCCAAACCAACATATAGGCAAAACACCTATACACATAAAATAATTAAAACTTTTTAAAATAAAATAATAATGTTATGTATAATAATGATAATATATTTGTATACTATCTGAAAATGTATTGCTGTGATTGGTGTAATAAAAATCTGAACATCCAATAGCTAGGCAGGATGTAAGGAGGAATTTCTGGGGAGAGAAAGGAGGAGAAATCAAGATTATGGAAGATGCCAGGAGAGATGGAGAGAAAACAGGAGGTACAAGATAGAAAAGAGGCAGCACCACGTGATAGAATATAGAGTAATATAAGTAGGTTAAGTCATAAGAGCTAGTTAGGAACAAGCCTGAGCTGTAGACTGAGCTTTCATAGTTAATAAAAAGTATCCTTGTCATTATTTGGAAGCTTGCGGGCAGGACAGAAAAAGACTCATTATATAATGATGATGATGATGATGATGATGATGATGATGATGATGGTGATGATGATGGTGGTGATGATGATGATGATCTCCATGCCTAGAACAGGCCACTTGTGTAGTTGGTTGCTTTATTATTCTTTACTCTTTTGGGGGGGCCCACCACCCAGTTCCCAAAGAAATCACACATGGAGTCTTATTCTTACTTATGAATGCCTGGCCTTAGCTTGGCTTGTTTCTAGCCAGCTTTTCTTAAATTATCCTTTCCACCTTTTGCCTCTGGGCTTTAATCTTCCTCTATTGTACATACCTTTCTTTACTTCTTTCTCCATGGCTTGCTGTGTAGTTGAGTGGCTGACCCCTGATGTCCTTGTTCTCCCTTGTTCCTCCATCTTTTTTCCCAGATTTCTCCTCGTATTTATTCTCTCTGCCTGCCAGCCCCACCTATCCTTTCTCCTGCCTTGTTATTGGCCATTCAGCTCTTTATGAGACCATCAGATGTTTCAGACAGGCAAAGTAACACAACTTCACAGAGTTAAACAAATGCAATGCAAAAGAAATGCAGCACAGGTTTGCATCATTAAGCAAATGTTCCATGGCATAAACAAATATAGCACATCTTAAGTTAATATCCCACAACACACTTTAGGGACAAAAAGTTGATCAGCAGTTACCACGGGTGAACAGGGTGGAGGCCTAGAAGTTCATAGATGACAGCTTTGTCAAGGAAGCTGGTTCCAGGGAGGAGAGACCATGGTGGTGCACAGCAGTGCAACTGTGCCCACTACTACTAGTGTTCTTAAAAACAGCGATAACCATTTGTCATAGCCAGAACCTGGAAACAACCTGAATGCCCTTCAACCGAAGAATGGTTAAGGAAAATGTGGACATTTACACAATGGAGTATTACACAGCAGAAAAAAATAACAACATCTTTAATTTTGCAAGCAAATGGATGGAGCTAGAAAACATCATTTTGAGTGAGGTAACCCAGACCCAGAAAGACAATTATCACATGTACTCACTCATAAGTGGTTTTTAAGCATAAAGCAAAGAAAACCAGCCCACAAATCACAATCCTTGCCAACAATGAGGACCCTAAAAGAGACATACATAGATCCAATCTATATGGATAGTAGAAAAAGACAAGATCTCCTGAGTAAATTGGGAGCATGGGGAGAGTGTTGAAGTGGAGAGGGGAGACGGAAAGGGGAGCAGAGAAAAATATAGAGCTCAATAAAAATCAATAAAAAATTAAAAAAACGGCTATGATCTATTTAGATTTGCTCCTTTTCTGTGCTAGTATGCTGAGACCAGACTCAGGGCCTCCAGCGTGGTAGGGAGACAGGCACTCTACCACTGAACTACATCTCGAGCCCTGCCCAAGATGCTAACTTATATGTTAAATGTTTTATATCTTTCTGTTTTTTTAGTTGTATGTGTATACAGTCATATGCATGTGTGTTCACAAATGTGTGTATGTGGGGTGTGTACACGTGTGTATGTGTGTACATGTGCCTACCACAGCACATGTGTAGGGATCATCAGGCTTCTGTGGTGAGAGCTTTTACCTGCCAAGACAACTCAATAGAATTCTTACTACTGTCTTTTAAAACTCACCTACATTAAGCAACCTGAGTATCCTCCAGTCCCTTCTACCACTGATTCTAGGAGACTCTTCTCCAATAGGTCCCAAGTTCCTAACCTTGGACTCGAGCAGCTAACTGGAGATCAGGCAGGGCAACTGGACCCCATGGAGACCATTCCCATTGAGCCATGAGAACTCAGTCTTCTGTGTTTGGGGAGAAACTATTCTGTTGCCCATGATGTTCATACTGAAGCTCTAACACTCAGTGTAAAGATATTTGGAAGGATCCTTTTTGGGGAGGTTTTAGGGTTAGTTTAAGTAATGAGGTCCCCAAGATGGAATTCATAAAAGAAGAGATGTGAGGTCTTCTCCCCACCCCATCCTTTCTTCCCTTCCTTCTTCCCTCTTTATCCCCTCTTGCCTTCTCCTTTACCCCCTTCCCGTCTCTCTTCCCAAGACCAGGACTTAGAAAAAAGACAACCATCAGCACACTAGAATAAGAGCACTCCCCAGAGCCCAGCCATATGGGCAGTTGGCACTTTAGTCTTTATGAGAAAACACATTTCTGTGTGTGAGCCACCCAACCAATGGCATTTGTTACAGCGTCACACACAATCTGAGGCTCTGGGACAGTGCATTCTTTTGGAGTCACACCCACACCTAGGACAGCTCTGCAAGCCTGGCTCCTGACCAGGGTCTCCCGGGCTCTGATTCACACACTGACCCCAGCTCACCACACAGCTGGTGGATCAGGAGAGACAACCTTATTCCGCCAGTGCCTGCATGACCTAGGGCAAGTCCGTCCACTCTCTGGGCCTCGGTTTCCCCTTTTGTACAATGAGGAAGTCAGCCAGCAGTAATCAAACTTTTATTTTTCCAGCTGGCAGAGTCTTTCTTCAAATAAAATCTGACAAAGAAAGCCAGAGTTAAACAAAATAAAACCATGGCTGCTTGGGCCGGGAACAGGGTTGAAAGCTGGATCTACCCTCGTCTGCATCCCCAACCCTAGTTTTGAGCCAGATCTACTTCTGAGAAACCCTAGAGTTCTAAGAGGCACACTTTGACAAACCCTGCCTTAGAAGGTCCTCCAAAGCTCCCCAGGTTCTGGCAGGGTGTGACGGGAACAGCACTGAACACTGGAGTTCATTGTTAACTTTTGCTAAAGGGATGACAGAATACCCTGGAAAGATCCACAGCCTCCTGGGTAGAGAGTGCATTGGGGCCCAGGCCTGAAGACCACCAAGTGGAGACCCACTCCTTGTAATACCTTGGGATATCAGGGACTGCTGAGCCCTTCTGCCTGCCTCTGCCTGGAAAAGAATCTTGCTCTTCCCTAGCCTGGGCAGCCTGCTTCTTCCAAACATAAGCTGTAGGCCAGGCTGGGGCCAAGAGCAATATTTTGTCAGTGAGTCTATTAAGAAAATAATGGAATAAAAGAAGCCACCATCATGAAGTGATGTGCAGGCTTCTCTTCAATCTGCCACAGCCTGACTGAGACTGAAATGGCCCTTCCAGGTTGGGCATGCAGCCAAAAGCTTTAAATAATCACTAAAAATGTGTGTATGATTTATCACTGGGGACAGGGTGGCATGGGACTTGGAGGCAGTGCTCACTCAGCTCTGCGGGCACAACAGTCCATCAGTCTGACCTTTCTCCTCAGTGCTGGTTTGTGGAGATGGGTACGGCCACCCTCCTCCCTCCAGGTGACCCCTGTGCTGTCGACATTCCCAAGGAAGGAGAGATTAGCAGTTAATGTTCTCACTCCCTTTTGGCAAGGAGAAAGCAAGTCATGGTGACATCTAATGTCCCCTGAGTGTGTAGGACCCTTGCCAGGCACATTTCAAGAATTGCCTCATCTGATCGTTTCGACTATCAGAATGGCTGCTTATATTCCTGTTAGCCTGGGGAAACTGAGGCATACAGATGTAGGTAACTTGCTCACTGAGAGGCAGCAAAGTAAGCTTTCGAGCCTGGTGTGCTTGATCCTTGGGTCCTTCACTGGGGTTGATGTATCCCCCTAGAAGATAGGCCTTCTCTCCCATCTTCACTTTGGGATTCCCAGTAACCTCCCACCTTGGTGACCTATAGGCTTCTGTACAAAGACAGCCCTATAAGCTTCCCATGGGCCCCAATTCCATTTCTACATGTTGTAGAAAGAGATATAAAAGCCCCACTGACAACGGCTCTCCCCTCGTCAAGACCTTGCTAGCAACATCTCCTCAAACTCTGCTGAGGCTTAGGGAATCACTAGAGACACATTCCTGGTAGCCTGGGGGTGGGAGATGATTCAGTCAGTAAAATGCCTGCCATGCAAATGTAAAGACCTAAGTTCAAATTCCCAGCACCCACACAAAAGCT